AAGGGAAAGTACCAAATATTTGGTTTAGGGAAATTCCCAGAATTTGACCTTGAATAATCAAATCACTTTTTTAGTATTTATGTACTGTCACGCAACTTGATTTACACGGTTACTTTAGTATTGGAATAAAGAAAGAAATAAAAGAATATAATGGTTCCCTGACTTTGTAACGAACGTCACTCGGTGGTTATAATGATGCTATAATTATGATAATTAGATATTGGAGTCTTTGAAGATCAAGAAATACGATGATTAACAAATAGATCTCATTTTTCCGTGTGCGTGTGTGTTTGCAGTCGAGTGTGTGACTGTTGTTCTCACTACATTTTGACGTCATCTGTGTATCTATTAGAGTACACGCACACGGAAAAATGAGATCTATCTGTTTTATACAACAAAAAATTAGTTTTATTGCAAACGAAAATGTCAAAACACGTAAAAAAAGTCAAAACAACGAGAAAACTATCTTTTCATTTGACAGTGTGACGTAATCCGTGTATCTATACTTTGATAACACACGAGAGCCAACCAATCAAAACGTCTGATTTTACTGAAAAGTTGTATGTTATGTAATAGCAGTCCTGAGTGAGCGGATTGAAAGCTAAAAGTAATTTTTGAACAGCGATTGAATAGTTTTAGTACGTGTGCACCCACCATAGCGGGCGCACGGTGTTCTTAGTCTCTCAGGATCTGCTTGTGTGGAAACGCGCGCGCAAATAACTGGTTTAAAAACAAAATTTCCGTATGAATAGACTGCGTGACTTATTCGTACGGACATGGATTTTTCTGTTTCAAATAAGCCGAAATGCGACTATTTCCACGAAAAGATGATTAATCATAAATTCATAATATAACACAATAAAAATCCAAAAAGTGTTCAACATAGCAGGTATTGAGAACACAGAAGTGACGTTGCTGAATTCCGTGTGTCTGACATCGGAGTTTACGAAATTTTAATCGAATGTCGCTTTTAGCGCTGATGTATTCTATGCCGGAATAAATGTGCCATGGTAAAATCGCGAAGTTTGCAGCGTCTTCATATTATTATTTGACTTATTTGAATTATAGTATTTTAAAATCGATATCTTATAAAATTACTATAAAATTTCAGAATATATACAATGTCCGTACGGGTATAGAAAACATACCTCGTCGTACGGTTAACGCATGAATAGCCACTGTGCAAAAGAATTGCAGACGAGGCTACGGGGAAATAAAAGAATAAATCAAGATTATCCATTTTCCCGGAGCCTTGTGTGCGTTCTTTTGTACATAATCATCGAACTAAAATATCTAAAGTTGACTATTCATTAAAATGTACCATTATAGTTGTTTTGGTTTATATTTTACAAACGTGATATAATACGACCTTTTAAAACTCCCGCTCATTTAGTGCATCGAAGACCTTAATTGAGCGGGAGCCTAGCGTCACGCTAAGTGTGACAAGAAACTAAAGGTGCTACCAAAATGCAAAATCAAAACCGTGTTTGCCTAATTAGAGGGTCTCAATGGGGTTAACCGTGAGCCGTGAAACGCCTGAAAAATTAGCCGTTAGTCGTGGAAATGCAAAAAAATTAGCCGTGAGGCGTGAATATTTTTTATAGCGTGAGCCGTGATTCAGTTTTGTCCCTCAGAGGGACAGTCAACTCCGATGCAGGCGCTCGCTTGTAATTTTTTTTTTTTTTGTAATTTTTTTGTAAATGCTCTATTCGCAGAGTAGCTTATTTAGTGTATCGAAGACCTTAATTGAGCGGGAGCCTGCGTCACGCTAAGTGTGGCAAGAAACGAAAGCTGCTCGAAATAGAACGTTACAATATTGAATCGACATCTTTTTTTAGATTGCTAATATAGATATAAAAGATTTTTTAATTCTTAGATAGTATTTTTGGGATTTGTTTTGTACATTTTAAAACTCCCGCTCATTTAGTGCATCGAAGACCTTAATTGAGCAGGAGCCTGCGTCACGCTAAGTGTGGCAAGAAACTAAAGCTGCTCGAAATAGAATGTTACAATATTGAATCGACATCTTTTTTTAGATTGCTAATATAGTTACAAAAGATTTTTTAATTCTTATATAGTATTTTTGGGATTTGTTTGTACATTTTAAAACTCCCGCTCATTTAGTGCATCGAAGACCTTAATTGAGCGGGAGCCTAGCGTCACGCTAAGTGTGACAAGAAACCAAAGGTGCTCGAAATAGAACGTTATAATATGAATCGTCATCTTTTTTTAGATTGCTAATAAAGTTATAAAAGGTTTTTTCTTACTTAGATAGTATTTTTGGGATTTGTTTTGTACACTTTAAAACTCCCGTTCATGTAATTTAGTGCATCGAAGACCCTAATTGAGCGGGAGCCGAGCGTCATGCTAAGTGTGACAAGAAACCGAAGGTGCCCGAAAAAGAACGTTATAATATGAATCGACATCTTTTTTTAGATTGCTAATATAGTTATAAAAGATTTTTTAATTCTTAGATAATATTTTTGGGATTTGTTTTGTACATTTTAAAACTCCCGCTCATTTAGTGCATCAAAGACCTTAATTGAGCAGGAGCCTGCGTCACGCTAAGTGTAGCAAGAAACTAAAGCTGCTCGAAATAGAATGTTACAATATTGAATCGACATCTTTTTTTAGATTGCTAATAAAGTTACAAAAGATTTTTTGATTCTTATATAGTGTTTTTGGGATTTGTTTGTACATTTTAAAACTCCCGCTCATTTAGTGCATCGAAGACCTTAATTGAGCNCTGATTGGTTTATTTTGACATCTCCATGGAAACTGACACTGTAACGCATGCGCTATCGATGCGCTACCAATTTGAAGCGTAATATTCACGACGAAAACGCCAGTTGCATTTTTAGACGTGGACTTCCACAGTAAGCCCACGTAATTATCGGGATAGCATGGAAGAGCCGAAATCTCTAACCGGAATGTAAATCGATTCGCCGCCTCAGCTTCACAGAATGTCTCGGGGGAATCGTCCCAACCTTTTTTCGATTTTATGGTCATGGGTTCGAATCCCAATACTCAAGTTTTTTTTCTTTTTTCGGCATATTTCTTTCTTTTTGCTTTTTGTAGTTGTCTTTGAAATAGCTTCCTATGCATTAATGTTTAATTACAAAATCTGCAGAATCATTTAGTAATTACTTTTATATATTTTCTATAATGTGATATTTTAAAGCGCGCTTTCATTGGCTTGTTTTCATTAAGCGTATAATAAGTTTTCACAGCGCGGCGATTGCGCAACCGAGAATCAATTTTTAAACAGAGTGTCCGAGTTATGTTTGCTATTCGTACGGACATGGTATATATCTGACATTTTAAAGTAATTATATAAGATATCGATTTTAAAATACTGTAATTTTGTTTAGAGTCAAATAATAATATGAATACGCTGCAAACTTCCTGATTTTACCATGCACATTTAGCATTTCGTCTGATGTCAGACACGGACTGCAGCAATGTCACTACTATGTTCTCAATACCTGCTATGTTTAACACTTTTTGGATTTTTTTTGTGTATTATGAATTTATGATTAATCATTTTTTCGTGGAATTAAATAGTCGCATTTCGGCTTATTTGAAATAGAAAAATCCATGTCCGTACGAATAAGTCACGCAGTCTATTCATACGAAAAAAGAAAAAGCAAAACGTAATTCAAAAATTTCTAAAAGTAATCTAGTTAACCGTGATTCGAAAAAATTAGTCGTGAGTCGTGAAATCGCCAAATTTTTAGCCGTGAGTCGTGATACGTACCACCCCATTGAGACCCTCTAATTAGCTTGTTGCATGTCATGAGTTAAACTATTGGGAGTTAATAGGGTGTAATAGTATTTGATAAARCAATTCCTATTTCACAGACGGATGAAAATGACTCTACCAAAATAATACCTGGACTTACTTATAGGAAACCGAGTGATTGCAACTGAATAGAGTCAACGCACTTATACCGTGAAACATAATCAAAGAAGTAGTGACTATTAGTTTTTATTTATCATATGACCCGTATTTCGGACCTACGCGCGCTCTCACTGAAACCTTTGGAAAATGGTCGCGCGATGTGGTCCTTACGCCTTTTCGCGACTGGTCCGTACAAACCCGTATTTTCCCGGCTTGAAGTTCCGCGCGCTATTATTTATTTTTTTACATTAAAAAACGCTGTCATATGATAAAATGCTTATTGACTGAGTTAGGTCGGGCCGTACGGGAAAATATTTGGCTCTCGGTCATTTGTACGGACCTCGCTGCGCTCGGTCCGTACGGCATAACCTCGAGCCAAATATTTTCCCGTACGGCCCTCCCACTCAGTCAATAAGTACATATTATTGAAAGCTACCTAGTGAGGAAGGAGAAATTTGTTAAAAAATGTCCCACCCACCCACAAGGAAAGAAAAAAAGAGTTGTTATTTTATGGCTTTCATGAATTTGTTCTGGTTCAGTGGTTGCTATTAGTCAGTAAATAGACACTAATGGTCACTGTTTATTTTGATCATATATCACGGTACAAGTGTGTTGACTCCATGAAAAGACTGCACGTGAATCTGAAGATAAATGCGAAGGAACTAGGCGTTCTAAACTCATCCTCGGGAAGATTTGCGTAATCTTTTGTCGTTCGTCCCTCACTTCGGCATGGGGAACGAACGGCGCAGAAAAGTGCGGCTGATTGCCGACTGAGGTTGCTCCAAACCTTACCTCCCCCTGAAACGTATACTTAGGGGAAGGCAAACGTTTTAGGTGCCATTGCATCCCGAGAGACTTGTTAAAGCTTTTCCGTGTAGACTAGAGCTTCAATGGGAGTCRTTTAAGTTTTATTCGTTTTCAAGAAAGCTAATTAACTTGGAGTTTTAAAAATAGCAATAATGCATTGGGTCAGAAGTTCAGCTATTTCTGAACCTACAGCTGTATTTAGATATCTTATTGACATAGTTGTGAAGGATATAAAGAAAATATTTCCTAAACAGGATTGATGTCTCTTCCTGATGTTACTGCAAATTCCGTCAAAAGAGACTCAGGCTGATAACCTCATGGACTCAGTTGGCGAAATTTGTTTCGTCTTTAGACCTGAATCGACTGTGTGTAAATGAATACATTGTAAACAAAGTGTAGTTATTATTAGAATTCACTTTTTTATTTCACATTTTTCAATGACCTGTCAGATGACGATTCTTGACATCCCGTTKACACTTGCAATTTTTGCAGCGCGATTGAATTGTCTGCGCGACAATCGCCACTTTGTTCTCGCGCACCTCAAATCATACGTGTAAACAGCTCTGAGATTGTCGCGGCGATCGAAAATCGCCGCAAGCTGCAGCTAAATTTCAAGCATGTTCAAAAAACTCAGGCGATGGTCGTGCGAGCCTTAAAGATCTGTGTAACAATTCACGCAAATCTTGTATATATCCATTTACATTTCATTACAGCCTTTTGCAAAAATTATGAGAATTGTTGAAATATCTAAATATCATAATATCGAGTGCATGATGGGTAATCCCGCGCGATGCCCTTAGTCCCTTGTCTTTGTAGTTTAGTTTTTTTTTGGCGACAGACTTATCCGTAGTTCTGAACATTTTCTCGATGTCAACAATGAATTATTCTAGCAATCCCGCGTGTTCCGGACAATATATGGATATAGATATTATGATATTTAGATATTTCGACAATTCTCATAATTTTTGCTAAAGGCTGTATATTTCTCTTATTATTTAAGATTATAATAAAAGGATAAGAATATGTTTAAAATGAAATCAAAGTTAAAAACGTTTTCGACTAAGTGATGATGACTTTTAGTCAATGAAACATTTTAAAATTTAATATCATTTTTTTAAAACACTTTATCTTCGTATCATTGTATTATATATATCCATTTTCATGTTTTACTAAAACTGTGACTAAGTTAGGGCCAATTTTGGCCTATATCCTAAAATATTTTGTTGTTTTAATTATTTTTTTGAAATAAAAGGTCAGAAAGTAAAAAAAAAACGTGTGGTCACTGATGAAGCTTAGATAAGAGGGTGGAACTTAGCCAAGAGATTTAATTATAACTTTTTTTTTTGTTTATTCTAGCGATGTTGTACTTTGTACCTGGAGGAAGTTTTGTTTTCTTTGAAAAAGAGGTAGCAAAGACCAGTTACATCCTGCGTTAATCTAATCGCGATTGCATCGTATCATTTCTTTGCTATAGTAACATTTTAGTTTGCAAGTCGAGGATTCGGGCAGCAAACTTTTATTCTGCAAAAGACACAGTGCAAATTAAAAAAAGTTTAAAAAACTAGAATTATTATTTCAAAATAACATTGTCAAGCTTCGTTTGCTGAAAATATTAGTTAGCCATGCAAATTATTGCATATTTTGGAGCATATTTCAAATTCCCATGCCTGGCAACACTATTTTAGCAACACAAGGTTCACAATGCGAGATTGGTGTGCATGCACCGAGGCTCGCGTACGCGAAAAAACCGGGTAAACTGGCCTTACGTCTTTAAAAAAGGCATAATATGGCTTGAATGAATGATCATTAAAAGCATTGATATAATAAATTACATTTTCCTTTTCGAAATTTAGTGACATTTGTTGTTAAGCTTGAATTTTGGATCTTGCGGGCTGCCTTTGTATCTCCCCCGTGTCAATCAGAAATGCATGAGCGGACCAGCGTATTTGCAGTACTTGATCTCTGGACTGCTGCTGAGCTGGGCGGTATCAGATAAACGACGCAGTTATAGCGTTGAGGCGAGCATTTCAAGCGCTGCCAGTGAGGGTCAGTGAGTAAAATGAGTTCTACAAACTCCCTCGATTCATACTGCGGCGTTACAGCTGATAATAAAGATGAAATGGTGAAGGAAATTGCCAAAGTAAAGTCCGAAAAGATGGCCTTACTCAAGGTACGAACTTACATTCAGGTGTAGTAGAAACAAATAAAAATGTATTACAATGCAACTTGGTAGAATTTGTTTTTGTAGCTTTCTGTATAATATTATTGCCCATTTATTATTTCTAAATTGCTTAATGTATGTCTAGGTGTAGTAGAGTACAAACATTAAATGTGGCCAACAATTTCCACTATATTTACTACAAAATAGTGTTAATTAAACAGTAGAAAACAATAGAATTAACATAATTTAGCAGCATTTAGTGGTATTTATGTTGCACAGTTTTAGTGTTTGTACTCTATCGTAAGTTTGTGTGGTATTTTTGTGTTGTCATTTTGACTTTGTTCACATTTATAATGGAGAGTACAGTGTGTTATTGTTGTTATATTTTTTTGTTTTTTGTTTTGTCCTACTACATACATGACGCGACATCTAAAACACTTTAATTCAAAGTTTTACCCAATGTAGGCGCTGAAATACGAAATTACCGTGCATCGTGGTCTAGCTTTGGTAGGATTCTTGCACCCAATATAGACCACAATGCAATGGTAATGTTATAATAATTTCATTAAAGGACCATTGCAATTGCGCACCAATGGTCAATCGATAATCGCCTTTTAGATAATCTGCAATAAATAGTCGAGCTTCGCGATCTCTTTTACGCTGTGTTAGCCTCAATTGTGTGCTAAAATATTCAGAAATGTAGATAAAACTCGTAAGATTTCAAACTATTTCCATTGTCTTCTATACTCACGAATCTCTTGCATTTGCACGGGCTGTTGTTAATAAAAGAATTTATTACATGGTTTTGAGGCTAACACAGCGTAAAGAGATCGCTAAAAGGGTTTATTAACATTGACAGAGTGTAGTTGCAATGATGAAGAAAAGAGGAATCCAGTTCTGGTTGGATTCTGGGACACTTCTTGGAGCTTACAGAAATGGRAAAATGATTCCMCATGACTTTGACATTGATCTCTCCGTCTTTGGAGAAGATGACTTGAACGCTGCTCACGAGGTTCTCGAAGCAATCAAGCCAGACAACTACCACGTCAGGTACTAGATCTACTTCTAATTACCTTATTCGGCAAATCCATCCAATAGCCCTCACCCCCCTTTATGCAATTTTCGATAACCATGTTACCATGGAAATACAAAGGAACGTTGCCTTGTGGTCTAGATTGAGTGCCAAGGACACCGTATTGCTGTATAAAAACAAAAGATGTTAAAATGTTTTCGTACGTAGGATTCATTATAAATACTCAGTTTTGTTCCTTCTACGTGTGTTTTAATATTAAAACACACGTAGAAGGAACAAAACTGAGTATTTATAAAAACAAAAGATGTTTGTACCGAATCTAGGCCCCTTGCAATGCGTAATGCTATTTGCTACAAAACCATCCAAACACGAGAGCCAACATTGATGGAGGGAAAAGGGGGCTAGCGGGGAGGGAGGAGAGGGGACTGCAATCATAAAAAGAAATGAAAGATTTCTGCATTGATAGTATTTGCAACAAGCATAAAGTCTGATAGTTAAAAAAAAAACTCGAAAAATATTAACTGTTTATTGTCAATACGAGCACTAAATATCATTATTATTATAATAAATTATGTCACTCTCATTATCATAAATCATTATTTTAGTGATAAATGAACTTCTTGGCTGTAAATGTTTCATTCAATTTATCGAATAAGAGTGCTGCGAAATCTAGCTACCTAGACTGCGTTTACACTACTGGAAGCATTGTAGTTATTCAAACTTTGATCTAAGAAAGAACATATCAATTTTAGTCAGCGAACTTCTAATTGAACTGTGAAATCCTTTATAGTCAACGTTTTCAACAGCTGAAGAATGAGCCAACTTAGGGAAGAGTTTTTCGTTTAAGGAGAATGTGCTAAAAACTCGCACATCATGCATTGAAAAGGAATCATTCTCTCTTTCCAGGAAGGAGGGTAGTTATAATGCTACAAACAACAACAACAGTTTACAACAGTTTATTTATTAAATCACTCTAATTACATGAATTGAAATCAAGCGACAACATTTTCCTAACAGTTTCTGTAGTGTAATCAATGCACCGCTGAAAGGCAGGTTGATTCAAAAGGTCCTGTACAGTACAAACCCATTTCCAGAGATCTTGATTTGGTCTCTCTCTCTCGTTTGAATGTTTTCACTTTTGATTTTCATATGGAGTAAAGTTAGTTAGGACGAGAAATTAAAGCAAATGGCTTGATATTAAGGTTTGAATAAAATCCCCCTCAATCTGGAAAAGATGGCGTTGCTGCTCGCAATTGCAAACCTTCTTTCTTATTAACAATTTCAAATCTCTGCATCTTAATCTTTGACTTTCCTCGAGCAGTGCGTCATCTTTTTTAGCTGCGTCAAAAGCTGGCATTTTTTTATTAGTATTGGTTGTGGTTTGTTGTGCTTGTTTTATGTTTTCATTATTGGTGTTCATGACGCCCAAACCGGAACTGACGTGTGTAAAAACTTCCAGAGTCATGTTGAAGAGTAGCGGAATTCGGTGCAAATTCATATAAACGAAAAGAGATCGAGAAATAGACTTATGAATCTTTTACGCCACTACTTGATAATTCATTATGGGTCCAATTTCTAAGGGGAATTCCGACATGTTTTGTCGGAAATATATCCTACAATGCATTGCGTATACGGTACATGGCGTAAAAGCTTCAGAGGTCTATTGAGAGGATAAATTTAGTTCTTTTTATTATGTGTAAGAGTTCATTAACTCAAATTACTAATCTTTCACGCAACAAAACACCAGGACTTTTTATAATCCAACATAAAGATATATCAAAGAAATTTAGTTCTTTAGATCTAGTATTTACCAGGAAAGTTTTTAAAATACTCACATCATCTTTATATAACATAACAGTTCACCATCTATGTTAATCGAATTCACCAACTGACTCGTTCTTAATTTTTATGGTAAATAGAAAAGGACATCATAATCCCGATTCAGTCAAAGTGTGTAAGAAAATAGAGATCTTCAAGGAGGTAAACGGTGGTTATAACTGCACCCATCCAAGTAATGTATCCATGGATATCATTATGTACGATTACGCAGATGTCAACAGAAGTCTTATCAAGACAGAGTACTTTGGCTTTAATTTGGAAAAGAACCGATACAAACCTGAATGGCTTTTTCCTCTAGGTAATAGAAGCTTGTATTTTAAAACAATGGTACATGTAAGTGCTGACACAATGTCCACCCTAACAGTTACTCATTAAACACTGACTACTAGTTGGAAGTAATTGTTTCACAGACGGATGAAAATGACTCTAACAATAGCAAATACACGAGGGAAACCATTTTTTCTATATCTTAACAATAATTGAAAATGAAGGACAATGTTAATGAAAGATCTTTCTATTATTGTCCCAGTCAAATCATTCTACTGTTTTAACAAGGATTATGGTCGCCAGAGGGGATCCGTCAGAGTAGCCGCTGTCCCATAGTCATGCATTCGCTCATTCGCTGCTCGAGAAAAGCCGTTTTAAGTGTATATCAAAACATGATACTTTAAATTGCTACTCTTGGAAAGAAATTTCCACTGTTTCTGAGTATCTATCCCCCATGTAAACATGCTGTGACGTCATTATGCCATAGTCAAACTTTGTTTCACTCACTGGTTTAATGACTTCAAGGATAAAACAAATACTTTTTACCTATTTGATGACATCTTTATTACCACATTGTCAGGAAAACTGAAGTTTGAAGACATGGAACTTCCGGTCCCCAATGACCCTGAAGCCTGGCTTTCAGAACAATATGGCTACCTTGGACCAGACTGCTACTATGACGAAACCGTGCACAAGTACCGAAAACGGCCCGCTGCATGGTGATATGAAATAGATGGAACAAAGAATACGGAATGATAATTATAGATGTATTGCAATTAACACTGGTATAGCATGTTCATCTAGGAAGATTTTTCTAGGAAATTGCAGAGACTGACTGAAAGAAACACATCATTTCTTGCACGCCATTCACAAGCAGCTTAAGCAAAAAAAAAAAAAGAAAAAACCTTCACTAATTTCTAAGAATTTAACTTCGTAAAGTTAATTGGAAAATTAGTTATGATTTTCTAAAAAAAAATTAAAATAATTTCGTAATGCGAAAAAAATATTAGGATGGTTTTCATCCATCTTTATATAAAATTCTTGACGTGGCTATTACACTAGCCTTGTGGTAATGCACTTAATTCATCTATTAGGGAGAAAACCCCTCTTTTCACGCTCTATAGCTCTATAAGCAAGTTTTGATAAAAACTAGAGCTAATTTGTGGGTTCCACCTCTAAGAGATAATTCTAGTCTTATTAGGTCAAAAACAAAGACCGTACAGTGTTTGCTCGTGCTCAATCGTGCTGTTTCACGGTCTAAACGAAATCTACTCTAAATATGACAAAGGACCACAGTTGTGTTTCTGAATTAAAAAAATAAATAAAATGTATTTTGGTTTACATGTAATGTTTTTTTTTCTGGTCTTTTGAAACAAAGACCTTGCATACACTAGGCCCGATGGACGAAAGAGTAGCTAAATTATTCACAGATCTATTCATCCAGTTTCCCGTGTCTCTGCAGATTATCCCAGCCCAATGACTTTGTATACGAAATATTAGAAAAAGGTTAAATCGTGTAGAAGTACTCTGAATTCAGAATAATAATAGAATATAAAGATTTTAGTAGTGAAGACTGAGTTCGAGAACAAGGTTGAGAAACGAATAGAAGCAATTACGGGTTGTTGGGAGCCGAATTAGTCTCCTTCGCAGCCCGACAAAAGGGGAGGCTGCAAAGTAGACTAGGAATTGAATAGGAGCAAATCTATGTAACTCAAACTACCCGTGCCATCCAGTTTTTAAAAGATTGCCACAGCTAAAGCTGGAAAGAATATTACAATAAAAAGACATTTCAAAAAAAAACATAAAGGGGAAAAGGATGGAAAAAGGTTGACACATGAGACATAACAATGAACTTGGGATCCCTGTGTTGAAATGGTCAGCGGCAATACGTTTTTCATTCCAAAATGGCGTCCGATGTGATGCTTCCACCTCAATTTGAGGAAACTTTTAAAGACGTCGATAAACTTCTGAGTCAACACGAAAAAACAAATTGTATTCAAAGTATGAAGGGGAGATATCCAGGTAAATTGGGTGGCATGGATGATGAGGATTTTGTCGAGTTACAGAAAGCATTGTTCAAAATTGGCGCCATCACAAACGATCTGTCGCTTATACCGATAATCACTTCAAATTCAAAGAAGAAGGAAGAAATCCAAGCCATTATTGGCAAATGTGAGCCACTAGAGATGAAAAAATTTGTAGGAAGAGAACCTGATGTCGAAAAAGTTGTCAAGATGCTTACTAATAAGGGGCGGCTTTGTGTTTCGGGAATTAATCTTTYTGGAGAATCAGGAGTTGGCAAAACTACCCTAGCTCAAGAAATTGCAAAATCTCTGAAAGATTTCCAGCTGATCACAATCGATTTAAGAGGAATTCTTGAGATGGGAAATGTCTATTTTCATGTTCTTGAAGGATTCAAACTGCCAGCTTGGGATAAGGATATAAGTAGATTCAACTCTTACCTTAAAACTCTGAAAGAAAAAACCCTATTGATTCTTGATAATGTTGAGCAACTACATGGTCTCCCATCACAGAAAGAGACTGAGAGCCAAAAAGCAGAGTTTTTTGATTTTCTTCTTGAAATAGTTACTTCAACAGCTTGTAAAAGTGGTTATTTGAAGCTTCTTTTGACTTCAAGGGAGAGATTGGATGATGCAAAGTTAAGGCAAAGATTGCTTTGTGATCATAATGTTCAGCCTTTTGATGACAAGGTGTCTAAACGCTTTCTTAGTCGTGATGAAAAACAGATTCCTGGAATTTCTAAAGAGGATGAAGAAGCARATATGSAGGAAATTGTAAAGCTTTGCAAAAATATCCCATACCTATTRCAGGGTGCCAAGCAGATGCTTAGAGAGGACTTCAGTCCATCGTCACAGGTGTTGGAAAGGCTTAAGTCTCAGCTAGAGAAAAGGGTTCCCAAGGAATATGCTTGCCTGGCTGAACAATTTGAATCGATTCCCAATGACCACCTCAAACAGCTTGCAGTGAAGATATCTCTTCTTCAACAACCTTTCTCTATCTCCACAGCAATGAAGATTGGAGATATTTCATCAAATTATGATGCTGGTATTGATTTAGAATTGCTAGCAGTTCACAAAGTAATATCAAAAGTAATATCAAAAGTAGATGGAAAGAAGTTAAAGTACGATATCCATGCTCAGTTCAAAGATTTTGTGAATAAGTATCTTTGTAAAGCCCAGCCACAGTACAAAGACACTTATCAAGAGGGAGAAAAACAATTTTTTATTCACTTTTCTGGTAAAATGAGCAAACTTGCTCAACATTTAGATAATGAGTTTGTCAATGCCTATTCAAAGCTTGAAGGAAACCGAGCTAATTTTGAGTTGGCCATTGACATTTCAAAGAAACGAAGTGAAGTCTTTGATGTTCTTCTCCATTCTGATGAGCACAATGAAGCAGCTTTGATGGGCCTTTTGTTTGAAACTTTGAAAGACATCAATGAAAGAAAGAAGCTGTATGAACAATGGGCTGAAAACGCAGAAAAATCAGGTAGGCTCCATAATAATCATTTTCTATCCATCCAGTTTTTCTAATTTTTTTTTCCTATTTTTTGTTTTGCTTTTGTTCATTTGTTTATTTATTTGTTTATTTTTATTTTTTTGCTGCTTGTTTTTGTTTTGGGCTTTCTGTGGGTATAGGAAGCCCAACACAAAAGTGGTGGCTGTGAAGGATACTAGTATAGGTATGTTTGTAGTACGTATTCCATATATGGCACAATTGTACTGTATATCTGGCCCTAACAAGCGAACAGAAGCACCTAACAAGCGAACAGCGGTCCATACTTTTTTCACTTGTATATTTTTCTACATTTTTTTTTGACTTTTTCAAACTTTTTAGCACTTATTCAAAATTTTCTCATCAATTTTAATTTACAATTTTGAATTTAATATTTTATAGCCTGACCTGTTCTTTCCCCTAAATCTTAACCATTTGACTTGAGCTACAAGTGTAAAGTGACTTGAACACGAGGGATAAACAACGAATTGTTTGTGACATTTAAAGTATTTTACATTGCTAATATCATCAGTAAATTGGGATTCCTTAGGGACCGCTATTCGCTTGTTAGGTACTTCTATTCGCTTGTTTGGACAGCTATACGCTTGTTGGCTAATACCATTTATGGAATATGTATGAGCAAGAGACTGAACACAAGTTTTTCAAAAAATGGACAAAATTGCCATGTGATCTATATGATCTATCTGCTCTGGCATGACAACTGGTTATTGAATAGGAAAGGTTGCTTAACCATGACAAAGTAGTAATTTTGAAAATAGCATTTGTTATTGTATAATCTTTATACACAAAAAGTGCTTTTGCAACTGGGGATCACGTGATCATTCCTACCTTAAATCTATCAACTATGACAAAGTGATGTCCAGAAATAAAAGGTGCAGGTTTACATGAAGGAAGTTCAAATACATAAAAAAGAGATAAACAAAAAACATGGGCATTTTTATAACATTTGTCTGATTGGAGTACAAACCATTACTCCAGTTCCATTTTCACATCACATTTCCATTTATATACAGAAAACATTAAACTTGTTGAGAGTGTTCTTCTAAATTTTAGGGAAATGGTTGGTCAGTGCACAGTTAAGATGCTGGCAGGCTTTACAAGGAGCTGACATGGAAGGGACACGTGATGCCAATGAAGCACTCCACATTGCAAAAGAGTCCTTCAAAAAGGCAGAGCAACAACCGCAACAGTGGCAGGAAAAACTTGATTCTGCTAAAAGCCTGTTTTTTCATGCCAGTGGAAGAACTAAGTGGCTGCATGCTTCAAAATTGCAGGATTCAAAAGAAAAGAAAGAAGAAATTCAAGAAGGAATTAGAAATTTGAAGGAAGCTCTGAGGTTGAGTGAGGATGCGACAAAGGGACAAGACAGTATGATAAGAGCTCGGATTATCAATCTGATTGGAAATTGCTACATGGAGCTAAACGATCCTTCGACTGCAGAGACGTACTTTCTCCGCGCATTGGAAATGACAAGGAAACTTGTTGGGAGCGACAACCACTGGGAGATCCCGACATACTACAACCAAATCGCGCAGGTTCACGAGCGACGTGGTATGGACATGGAAAAGTCTTTTTTCGCATTTTGGCATAAAAAGAAAATTAATGCAGAATATAAAAGTGCAGTAGAATGGATGGAAAAAGCTCTTAAACTTCAAGAAGATTTGGGCGTCGGCGATACAGAACACACTGCCACATTTCAAAGAAATCTTGCAAACTCTTTAATCGGTATTGGGGATTATGGCAAGGCGCTGTTGTATGCAAACAAGTGTTATGAAAACAGGCTGAAACGGCTGGGTGAACATCCAGAGACGGTTAGGATTCTGTATCTAACAGGAATTATAAACGAGTGGAGGAAAGATATCGAGAGTGCACGCAAAAGCTATGAACAGGCTTTTGAAATGGAAGAAGCACTTCCAGAATACAATCACAGCATTGTGAGGACATTGATTCGGGAGAGATTGGAAGCGATGTACAAAAAGCTGAAACTAAAAGATAAGATAGCAGAACTGAAAGACCGAATTGAAGAGATAGAAGAGGTGGGTCGATTATCTTTTGTATATAATACTATAAACGATTTATATATTAACTACTTCAATTGCCTTTGTTCATGGTGTATACAAGAGAAGCCTAGCCCTAATTCCACGTACCCATTTAATGTTCCTTCTTGAATTAGCCAACCCCCTTTGTAGTCTTCTGGTTCCGCCACAGAAACCCCACACTGATTCAATGTTGTATTCTCACGTTTCAGAGGGAAAAAGAAGCGCAAAATATACCAGGTAACAGTAATAAAATAACCCATTATTACGTATTCACCATGTTCACATTCCCTATCTAAATTTTAATTAACGCCTCTATTTTATTCTTTTATCATCATAGATACTTGCAAAGAAGTTTATATTACTGTGTAAGTGAACTGCTTAATGATGTTTTGATTTATTATCTGTAAAATAACGCTATTACAGTGGAATCTGTAATACGGCCATCGAAAGGATAACAAAAAGACAAAAGTGACCGTGGCAGAAGAGTACAGTTGGTGTATTTCGCTTAGGCCTATATGTTTTAATTGTTTTTATTAATTAACTAATAATGAACTAATCGATTGATTGATTGGTTGATAGATTAATTGATCGAGTGATTTATTGATCGAGTGATTGATCCATTCATTTGATCTTTCATGAATTTAATCTCTCATTAATTTTCTTGTTAATTCATTCTTTCGAACATTCCATAGTTCCTAAAGTTATTTGTTCATTCATTCTACCATTCGTTCTATCTAAAATATTCGTTTATCACTGGAAAAAATCGCGCGCTTTTCAGGTTGTAAATTTGATGGTTAATATGATGTAAGTGTCCAAAATGATGTAAATTTGATGTAAATGATCATATTTACATCAAATTTGCAACCTTTAAAGCGCGTGATTTTTTCCAGTGTTATTGGCCAGATCAAACTATATTGCCCTAAAAGGTGCCCACTAGCTTCTACTACTAATCGTGCTGGGTTTTTAATAATCTGTTGATACGTTATTGGCTGTCGATTTGATTGATCCGTTGGTAAAACTTTGTTCCATAGCAACCAAGAAGAAGGAACTTACAAACATTTGTCGAGGGGTTTCTGTCTTCAATTCCCTCCTGATTGCGTCACGGAAGCAACCCGGATAAAGTGCGAGGCGTCATCATCAGAAACGACCCTCCCCTCCCCTGCTCATCCAATGGAGTGTCTAGTTAGCTCTATCGTTCAACTTGGACCATGTTCTGTGCAACTCAAAAAGCCTTTTGTTATGATACTACTGCATTGTGGGGTTGAGAAATCAAAGGGATATGAAACTAAAGTAAAAGTATTCAATGAAGAAAGTAGAGCGTGGAAAGAAATGGAAGGTAAGAGAAATCCAATCAGTCCAGAGAATTCATTTATAAATTCATCCATTCATTCTTTCGTTATTTATATTATCCCTTATGCATCTCAATAGAGTGGTTTTCCGTCAACCATGAAAAGAAATAGACCGACTAGTTAGTAGCAATTAGTAATAGTCAATACAACTTCTAGACTAGACTATTAGTATTGGTCTATTGCAAACTTTAACTATTAGACTTATTGTGCTTTCATGGTTGACGGAAAACCACTCTACCCTGTTTTTTTGTTTGTGTGTTTGTTTTACAGAGCTGCCCCTAGAATCGATACCTCGTGTAAACATCCCCCCTTCATTGAAATACGTTGGAATACAGCTTTCTAAAATGGCAGCCGTAGCAGTAGTTTCCAGGCTTGTCACAGATACGTTCGAGGTACCAGTCAGCGGTTGCGTTGTCAAGTCGAGCGTATGTGATGGCGTCACGCTTCGTTTTCCAGAAGGGGCGGTTGATAGGCCGATCAAAGGAAGCTTACGGGTGAGGGATGTGCCGTGGGATATCTTTGTTATACTGATACTTGTGAAAGTAACCGAGCAACATGGTAAATTTTGATACAATGCCAACATTTGATGAAATGCAAATCATTGTGTTTTTTGTTTTTGTTTTTTGTTTTTTTGCTTTATTCCAGGTCATCCCAATTCCTGATCACGTTAAGGCAAATTCCGAGGCAATACCAACTCCTATTTTGCTGTTTAGTGGCTTCGGAAATGTTATATTCTCAAAACCTGTTCGCATCACCGTCCCACGTGACTCACGTGAGACCAATTCAGAGTTAAGCAAGGCTCATCTCCTTCGTTTGGATGCTGTACAAAACCCATCTCCTTGTTGGGAAGACATCGCTACAGATAATCTTAATGTATCGATAAGTGAACGGGCTATAGAGCTGGACGTATATCAATTTTGTGGGTAGGTTGCCCGGAAATTAATATTGTAATATGATAAAAATGAATGATAAGTTTATTGCTGTAATGCTATAACCTACACGTTTTATTGAACAACATATTTGAAATGTTGACCGCTAAAAGGGGTTTGATTATGTAATTGAAATCATATCAAATCGTCTTCTTCAGTCACCTTTTCCTCTGCCATTCTGAAAAGTAACCGTTCGTTTTCAGAACTGAGACGACCTCCCATTTAACTTTGAAAGGTGCCTTAGGAAGGTTTATTAAATGAATTTATATTTTTTTGTTCGTTATATCTTCTGTTATTAAACTTCTAGACTATGGATTTGGAATGCAATATCAGTCGTTAAAAACCTCGTCGATATAGCATACAGTCTTTATCCCGATATGCGCGATCCGCCATCCCATGTCAGCTTTGGTGCTTACCAAAAAAAGGGATCTAGTAACAGCTCAAAGGTCTTCTTAAAGCTTACATGTGTTGCTAATAATGAAAAACAACTTAAGTTGACAGACGATCTAATTAAACAAGGTGAGAGCTGCATCTATAGGAAGATGTCATGTTGTTGATGTTTCATTTATTCGTTTATTCATTTATTCATTTATGGAAAGACTACTGCCACCTAGAAAATGCAACTTCGAACGAAGCCATGCGAAAAAATGATAAAGCTTTTCCAGACTTGGAAAAAATCAATCTGTCAAAACGGGAAGAATTCTTTTTGGAGTAAGTTATTTGGACTTTTTTCTTGACAAGTTTTTAAAGGCTTTTTCTCTCAATGATTAAATGATTGTAAAAAAAAATCAATTGCAGATACCTAGGCAGTGAAGGAGGACCATGCGAAAAAACCATAATGGTAAAGAAAGATCTTGACATGATCGACCTCAATTTTTACCGCGACAAAGAAACGAAGGGAAAACTTCTTTGCAATTTGCCCTTCGAAATTAAGAGGGATGATCACGAACCGTCACAGGTTAGTTGCGCCTTTCATGAAAACCTCGCGAAATTCAAATAATCAAAAACAAGATTTTTAAGCTTCTCTTTAGAAATGATTATATTATTATATTACCACCACTGGAAAGAACAGTGTAAAATTAGTATGTTTACCAGGTTTGAGCATGATTCGATGAAAATTCAAGGAGATACAGCGTTTAAAAGTCGGCAAAATTTACAAAGAAATGTATGGGCTGTCGGCATAAGATCGAGGTTGACCTTGACTTGTTACAACCTCGCCAAGCATTTCTATGCAAAATCATATTTAGTGTTTTTGATGTGCCGTATCTCTTTGAATTTAAATCAGATTATTTTCAACCTTGGCAAATTTGCTGATTTTTTGACGCTCTTTCCAGTGATGTCAATGATTTACCATAACGACGTAATGTAAAATTTCGAATTATCCGCGAAGTGGACTATTGACTGTATATAAATGATAATAATGTTTACTTTTATTTTCAGAAGACAAGTAATGATCGCAAGGTACATGTAATGTGCTTTTGTATTTGGTATCTCAGTTGAAGAATATTTTAAGGTTCATATCAATAAGGAGCACAAAAACGATCTTGAAAAGAAACTACACGAGTGCTAGTCAAAGAACTAGAATTTTTCGCAAAATGTATGAGGTTGACAATTGTTTCATTTTAGATCTGGGTCGAATACTGTGGAATCACCTTTGATATTCTAAGAGAAATCTCTGAGCAAGATGCTAATCTTTTACGTCAACTCTTCGAAGAGCAAAAAGTCAAAGACACCATAGATGGGTTTATGAAGCGATGGTATGATGGTGACGGTGTGGAGGAGTTCTTGTCTTTGATCCATAAAATCCCATATCATAAAGTGTACGAAGCGTGGAATAGACCGGATCAAAACACACAAGACCGGATGGGTCACATTTTGAATAAGATTCAATATGGTAAGAATCAGTTTTAAGAACGTAGTATAGTGTGCTCGAAAGTATACTCACGATTAAACGAGGTCTTTTTTAAGAGCACCATCTGTGCGTAGGTGAGCGCCTGAGCGCAATCAAAGAGAAACCATACCACGTGAGTAGGCTACAGTTATCGACTACAATTGTACGCAGCCCACATCTGTAGCTCAAACAATGGATTGCAGTGTGCTGTTCTCCATTGTTCGCCAGTTGCCATTTGATCACTTTTCACTGCCTACCTGCTCAATTTAAAGGTGTTCTCTGTATAAAAGCAAAAAACCATAGGTAAAATACCTTTATACCGATTAAGCTACATAATCACTTTATAATTACTAAATATAACTTTCATGCTAATATTTTTCTAGGTCACAAGATCACTGCAGAGACTTTTCTTCTTAATATTCCCCAAGAATTGACCAACACAATAAGCAAAATGTCGACTGAATCCATAAAAGATTACAATAAGTTCGGACAACTTTTAGGACTAAGCGAGGAAGTCCTGAAATCGTTAGGGTCTTCTCATGCAGTTCTCAGTTTCTGGAAAGAAAATAACAAGAAGACGGGAAAAGTTGCTGACTTGCTCAAAGCTTTGAGAGAGTGTTGGGCTGTTGATCCAGCTAAACAACTGGCGAAGACTATAACCGAGATAGCCCGTATAGGACAAACAGGGGTACTATTATTTCCGTATTTTTGCACTAAACGGTTATTCATGATATTGGACGTCCAATACCTCTTAAGGGTATGTTTGTACTAAGTGAATGTACCCCTCTATTTAGGATAATGCCGTATCCCAGGTTGCTGAAAGCGGAAGCATCAGGGAGGTCACTGTTACCGAACCACAGGCTGCTGAATGCGAGGAAAACAGTACAGTCACTGTTACCAAATCACAGGCTGCTGAACGCGAAAGCAACAGGGAAGTCACTGTGACTGAAACCCAGGCTGCTGAATGCGAGGAAAACAGTAGAGTCACTGTTACCAAATCACAGGCTGCCGAACGCAAAAGCAACAGGGATGTCGCTATTAATGAAAACCGGGCTGCTGAACACGAAGACAACAGTGAAGTCAGTAAAAGTAAGTGTTAAAAACCATTGTTCGGTCTTTAGGTCTTTTTCTATGTAACTATCAAGCAGTGCCCTTTTTGTTCAGAGGTGGGTTTGAATTRAAATTTTCATATAMCTCTTTCTCTCAGASCAATACTCTGGTCACTGGAAAGACGATCCAGATTCAAGCGATGTGTACAGGATGAAAAGTAACCCCAGAGGATTGATGGTCATCATTAACATSCAGAAATTTGCTGTTGAYCCTACACWTRAAAACCGAGAGGAGCTCATGAAAGAATTGACCGAGCGCRAAGGTTCTGAGAGGGATGTTGATAAACTAACTGATCTTTTCAGTGGAAAGCTAAATTTCAAAGTCTGCACCATCATAGACAAACCAAGAATTGAAMTTTTGKKAGAASTGCGAAGWTTTGCTGAWGACTCTGCCTACAAAGATTACGACTGYCTTGCAGTGTGCATCATGAGTCATGGAAAAGACGACAAATTCTACGCATACGATGGAAAACMAATCAAAGTCTCAGCTGTTTACAACATGTTCTCCAACTCGATGTGTGAGGTTTTTCGCTTCAAGCCAAAGCTGTTTTTTATACAAGCATGCCGTGGACCAAGGGGCAGTAAGTTTGTCGCAGYMGATGGGCCATCGGTAGAATCTTCAGCACAGCATCCACCTACAGAGAGCAAAGATGCTGATATGGCAGACATGCTCATCGCTTACTCTAGTTTTGAAGATTACACYTCATACCGACACTCGGAAGAGGGAAGCTATTTCATCCAAAGCTTGGTTCGATTTTTCCGAGAATATGCAGATTCGGAACATGTTGARGAGMTATTGACAAGAGTWAAAAATGAAGTTCACAGGCTTATACAAGAGACATCGCRAGGCCGAACACAAATCCCTGCTCCTGTATCAACACTCCGCAAGAAACTGTATTTCTGGCCAGGAATGGATTTTAATAMGTGATCTAAGCATAGTTAACTATGATCTAAGGAATACATAGATGTAAAAATGGTGAGATCTAGCAAACTCAAACTTTACTCACATTCGGAGGACGTTTAGGACTCAGCGAGGAAGACCTTGATACACTACACTCTTCATCTTCAGTTTTAAAGATAGTTCTAGATAAAAGTAATGATACAACTGGCAGGGTTACTTCAATGCTTTGAGAAAGTGTTTGGCTCGTTTCCCTGAACAGCAACTAGCGGACATTATAACCACGATGGTTAAATTAGGATGAATCCTTTAGCTTTTGCTTAGCTTTTGAGGAAGAAATCTTCTGGAGTAGTTTTTGTTGAGGTATCTTAGATGGATTTATCGTTTTATAGACTCCTAAAAATAATACAAACATTAGTATCAATCGTGATATTTAATAATTTTTAGAGAAAACAACAGGTATTTTCATAAGATGTTTTTGATCTTTGTATTTCAATWGAAATGTAGGAATATCGTTTTATAGTTTTAGGTAGAAATATTTTATAAAATAGCTCAAAGCTGTGTAAATTATAATGGTGTGGTAGTCTACAATTAGAATTTTATAATCTTGCGATAAAATCTTTGTATTTCAATTTAAATGTAGAAATATAGTTTTATAGTTCTAGGTAGAGATCTTTTATAGAATAGCTTAAAGCTATGTAAATTATAATCATATGGTAGACTACAATTAGAAAGTTTTATTATCTTGCGATAAAATCTTTGTATTTCAATTTAAATGTAGAAATGTAGTTTTATAGTTCTAGGTAGAGATCTTTTATAGAATAGCTTAAAGCCGTGTAAATTATAATTGTGCGGTATAGTCTACAATTAGAAAGTTTTATAAGCTTGTGATAAAATCGTATCTTACTTTGTATATCCAAAAGTTTGTATAAATTATGCATCTGTTTTACGAAAAAAATCGGCACAATAAACTCTCGATGTTTCTAAAAGGGGTTTAGTGCGCTCTATATATAAAGAACATGAGTATTCACGTGTAAATATGTGATGCCTATCCAATAAGCATAATATTATATTTTACGTCACATCAAAACTGTTATTTTAACGCTAAGGATCACAGTCGCCAGACGGGATAAGAGTGACAACATATCCCGGGTACTCCCCCGAAACTTGGGTTGGGGTGTGCCGCTGGGACCTCAAAACCCTGACCCTGTTCCAGAGTGAAATCGCTGAAAACGATACCCTGTTCCAGAGTAAAATCGCTGAAAACGATACCCTGTTCCAGAGTAAAATCCTGCACTAGCTTGCGTGTAGACCGAATTTTTACCCCATGAATTTTTATCCAGCATCAATAATTCCGGAATTCAACCCTGACCCTGTTCAGAAAATTTGTTGAAATCGATACCCTGTTCCAGAGTAAAATCGCTGAAAACGATACCCTGGTTGGCTACACGTCCCCGTATAGCGAATATAGGGGAGTGCCCCCCCCCCGGGCTACATATCAAATACAATGTACATGAGCAATCATTTACACCTAATTGAAGAAACGTTGGGTCCAAAAAGCTCAAATAATAGAAGCTAAGACCGATTGGGAAGACAAACAATTTGGCTAATTTCATAACAAACAGCTCTCCAGCATAAAAGACTATCATGCTGTTAATCTTACTAGCTCTACTTGCTTAGTATACACCGTATCACCGTATTTAGTGGTATTCAAAATCCCTTTCGGTCTTAGCTTCTATGATGTGACTTTTTCGAACACGAGTACGTTTTTTCAATTAGGTGTACACACAACACGATTCACTGAAGTTCTACTTTGGGAGACAAATTAAATGGGTCCAAATTTTCTCTGTGTTTTTTGTCTCCCGATGTAAACATAATGTGAAGTCTAATGAAATGGATAATTCATCTGACTGTACATCCTGTTTTTTACGTAGTGTTTAAAAAACGAGCAGGAGTGCTATATCCCCGATAAAGCACGACTGCGAGTTTTTTATACTACTTCTAGAACTCCAACATCCAGAAATTGTTATCATTTTAGAAAAAAGCTAAAAAATGCGAAAACAGAGATTATGCATGTTAAACTTCTACTGAGCATGTGCATTTGTCACAAATGAAAGAATTTTGATCCCACACGTAAGAACGGCTAGTCTATGCTATACTGCATACAATCTGCACATTGATTCAAACTGATTTAAAACCTAGCAAAGGTCTATGATGCGACATTAAAACTGAGACCTTTGCTAGTGTTGGGTTGCGATTAAGCGCTGATGACCTTGAACATCAGTTCCATTCCCAGAAATTCGATACAACATGGCGCGATGCATGCGCATTAATTATCTGGTCGACTAACTCACGGCATTTTACTGAGCAATAAAATACAAAGAAATGTATGTAATACTTTATTCATCTTCAAATATTTCTTTTGTTATTGATGTTCGACATTCTCCGCAAACCGTATTTTAAAGATTGATGTATTGTCTTTGATATGGCGATATAAAATAAGCCGTTTCGAAGTCCTAAACCGGTTCCAAAATCAAATTAAAATACTCACCAAAATAGCCGT